CTTAGTTCAAAGAAATAATATTTCTATGCATTTGAGCTCTCCTAGCTCAAAAGTCTGATAGAAGTTTCATAGAACAATATTTTTTTAATTTTCAAACCGCACTAACTTTTAAATGAATCACTCGATTTTCATGCGGTTGGCAGTATTTGATGCAATTTTCTTAGTTTCATGAAAAATCATTAAGTTTGAATTGATAAAACTAGAAAATTTGGAGTAATTCCAAAAAAACACATTTTTTGGTTTTCTTTCGTTCATGATATTTCTTGAACGAATTGACCAATTTTGACCGGCTTCGACGTAATTTTTTCATGCTAATAGCTGATTAGTTTTTGAAATCGATCAGTGCAGCCGTTTCAAAGTTATTCCAAAAAATGTCGGAGTTATGTTAAAAAAACAATTGTTTCCAAATATTTTATCGAGGATAACTCTCTAACTAATCAACCGATTTATATTTTTTTGGCGGCGATCGACGCGGTTTTTTAAGCTCTGAAATTATTCTATATCATCAAAAACGATCCGAGAAGAAATGACGAAGTTATGTCAAAAAAACACTTTTTCGGTTTTCTTTCGTTCACGATATCTCTCGAACGAATCAACCGATTTTGACCGGATTAGCGACGATCGGCGTGGTTTTTCAAGCTTAAGGGCGGATTAGTTTTTGATGTTGATTGATGGAGCCGTTAAAAAGTTATTCCAAAAAAACCACTTTCAAAAATGATTTTTTTCTTATTTTTTTTGATATTTTTCAAAATTTCTCAAAATCTATTGGTCCGAATCGGTTCAAATTCTCAGGAAGTCTAAGTTTAAGAGAACTCTTTAGAACGCCGTTTCGTACGTTCCGATCGGTTCAGTCGTTCAAAAGCTATAAGCGAGTCACATAGTCACACACACACACACACACACACACACACACACACACACACACACACACACACACACACACACACACACACACACACACACACACACACACACACACACACACACACACACACACACACACACACACACACACACACACACACACAC